TCTGTGAAAGGGAAGGACCAGAGAGCCTTGTCCAGGCTGTGCTCTGTGAAGGGGGGGGGGGCCAGACGACCAGAAAAGAACCTTGCCTGGAGCAGCACTTTGTGCAGAAGTTTGAGGTTAAGTGTGTGGTTGTCTGGTGTATTTTCACTCATATGCCCTCTCTTAGAACCCCAAAGCATTCTTAAGTGTTAAGGTTCCACCCAGTCCTTGACATTCTACTTTTCCAATATCCATAAATACAATTTTAAAATGCCAATTTCTCAATGCATTTGTTCTTCACAACTATTTGGAAAATATCGGCCTGAGAGAATTTGTCATTTAGAGGAATTTAGGTCCTCAAACCTCTGAAATCTATCATTTTTGACTCAGGGAATTCCAGGCCATGTCACAAAATGAAGAAAAGGAAAAAAGGCACAGTGGTCCCTGATCTGTAGTTTCACTTAGAAGTCAGAAGTCAACTTTGAGTTGTTCTGAGGAGTGTGAAGAATGTAGTCCTGCCCATTCCACCTGGGACGTGAATCATCCCTTTGCCTGTCACAGAAACACTATATACACTCCCAACCATCAGGCACTCAGTGGCTTGTCTCTGTTATTAAACTGACTATTGTGACTACCATGTTAGTATTCAGAAGTCCATGTTTTACTCCATAATTGCCATCACACGCAAAGCAGCAATGCTACGCCAAAGAGAAGCCATCGTCATGGAAAGAGTGCATACTATGTAATAGTGTGTGAGAGCATGTTTGCATAACTTTCTTACAGTATGTTACAATTTTTGTTAGTCCCACAGTGATCTTAATTTATAAGTTAGATTTTGTCATATGTCTCTTACATTTAGGTAAAATACAGTAGGCACAGGGTTTAGTCCTGTTGGCTCAATCAGGCATCCTCAGGGTCCTGGAATGTACCCACACAGGTAAGGAAGGATTACTGTATTCTGAGAAAAGATCCCTTCCTTGGGGCCATGCCTACACTGGGCTCCAATAAATAGTGCCCGGTGTGCACTGCTCCCTCCCTTCTAGCCTGGCATCTCTCCGCAGGCTGACAGTTATAAAGACCTAGCTTCGCGCTGGCCCCCAGGACATGTCTCAGGAGTCAGAGAGCTCCCCGCATTGGAAGCGGAGCAGAGGAAACCCGCTGCTCTTAGGTGTGGCTTTGTTGTAAATGGAGGCTGAGAGATGGAATAAACACACCTGTCTCATGGCCTTCTCCCCAGACTCCTTCTTCAAATGGTCTGTCAGTTTCTGAGAGTTCCTGGTGGGTGGGTGCTAGTAGATGATGGTGACAACATAGCTTTTGTTGTTTGGCATTGGGGAAGCTTTAAAGTAAGAAAAACCAGGGAAGTCACTGGTGAGGCTAGAAATGTTATCAATACTGTATGACTTTAAAGATGAGTCCCTGTTGAAAAGAGCCACATCTAAGAGTGAGATGAACATACATGTTTGCCAGCCTTTGTACAAGGAACCGCCTTCCCTTCTGTTGTGGATGAGCAGGCTCTGCTCCCGGGAGGGATGCTTGGCCTCAGCATTGACGCGAAGCCTTTTTAGCCCACAGATAGCCAGGTACTCGGTAGGGAGGGTGTTGGAACCACACAAGGAAAGCTTCAAGTCTTGGACCAGAGTGAACTTCAGCAGGTGGCCCAATGTGGACGTATCTGTGAACCAGATGGTCAGCTGGTCATGATAGCTAGTTTGCTCCATGGCGAAAGGAAGGACAGATTTACAGCTGCACATCAAGTTGGCCAAACTGTAGTCACAGTCTCTGATGTCTACAGGGCAGCTGCAGTTCCGAATGGTATTTCCCTTTGTGAAGATCAGCGTGCTGTTCTTCTGACCTTTTGTGAAGCGGCCAAGTGCAAAGATGCCCAGTGCTCCGAGCAGAAGCAGGCAGAGGCTGGAAGGTGGGGTCATTCTTGTCCAGCATGGACTGGTGTGTTCCTGTTTCTCCTTCATGAGCCAGTTGGGTGGAAGTCACCTGAAAGGAATCCTGAAGCTTTATTATCACAGCCTCCTCAGAACGCACACCCTGCTGGGAAAACATCCCAGACCACCAGCTGTAAACTTTCCTGTCCTGCAGTTCCGACTGAGACAGGCAGTGCTTTTATCTTGGCACTTCATGAGAAGCAGCAGCCAGACTTCTGAACTCTGCTCAGTTGAGGCATAAAACTCCCAGAGATATGTGCTGACAGCAAGACTAGCGTGTCAGGGGAGCTGGGGTGATGTCAGCAGAGGGGCTACCACATTCTGTCTACTGCAGGGACTTGGAGTTACTTCAGTGAGCACACCCTGCCAACACCCAGGACTGCCTACCTGTACTTGTACAACCCAGAGCAAGCACATGCCCTTCTCCCACTCTGGATCTGACTTCCTAGAATTCAAAGACAAGCAGTTCCTAGTAGGAGTACCCTGCCCACGCATGCTCCCTGGCTGCCCACCCACGCACGCTGGCTGCCTACCCACACTCCCTGGCTGCCCACCCACGCACGCTGGCTGCCTACCCATGCATGCTGTCTAACCAGCACAATGTGAACAGCCATGAAACATTTAATGGTAAACTTCCTTACGACCCTCATCTCCGCCAACACAGTAATCCCTTCTCTGGTCCTACAAAGCACTCATGTACCAGAGTCCATTGTAACTATGTGAAGGGATAATAAAAAGACTAATCAGCTGCCAATTTTAATCAATTATCTGCTTCTATCCCAGAACAAATCTTATGACTCAATTTTGTCAAAAATTTTTTGTGGGGTCTCAAAACAAAGCAATATATAAGCACTGAAAAAATAAACTGGGGAAGAAAAATGGGAAACCTTTGTATTTTAAAGAGTACCTGGGGAAAATGAGTGACTGGCCAGGCTATAATAGATGATGCTCCCTCTTGTGGTGTCTCTGGAGGAAAACAAGCATTGTGGCAGAAGGCGTCAGGGTTCAGTTTTGCGAACAATTGAAGTTTCTCCTGACTTACCTGACAGTTAAAGGCAAACCGAACACTGTGCATACTGAACACTAAAGGGATGGGGTGATACTTGGTGTACATGACAGGGAAGATCGGAGCTGTGTGCAGGGACACCGTAAAAAGGGATGGGGAAGCCAGAGAAGGTTATTCTGAGGTGCTAAATGTGTGTCCAAAGAATATGATGAGAGCGGGAAGGGGACACACTGAGGGTGCAAGGTGAGGCCACAGGCACCAAGAAACTGGAAGGAGGCGAAGCTGAATATGCCAGGGCTCCGACAGACAGGCACAGGCTACATGGAGGGTAGAAATGGGCTCAGCCAAGTCAAGAACTGGAGGAAGGCACTGGCAGCAACTGTAACACAGCCATCCAGTCAGTTCACACCTACAGTGTATTAACACAGCCATCCAGTCAGTTCACACTACAGTGTACTAACACAGCCATCCAGTCAGTTCACACCTACAGTGTATTAACACAGCCAGACAGTCAGTTCACACCTACAGTGTACTAACACAGCCATCCAGTCAGTTCACACCTACAGTGTACTAACACAGCCACCCAGTCAGTTCACACCTACAGTGTACTAACACAGCCATCCAGTCAGTTCACACTACAGTGTACTAACACAGCCCTCAAGTCAGTTCACACCTACAGTGTATTAATAAAACCCTCTAGTCAGTTCACACTACAGTGTACTAACACAGCCCTCTAGTCAGTTCACACCTACAGTGTATTAACACAGCCCTCTAGTCAGTTCATACCTACAGTGTACTAACACAGCCATCCAGTCAGTTCACACCTACAGTGTATTAATACAGCCATCCAGTCAGTTCACACTACAGTGTACTAATACAGCCATCCAGTCAGTTCACACCTACAGTGTATTAACACAGCCATCCAGTCAGTTCACACCTACAGTGTACTAATACAGCCATCCAGTCAGTTCACACTACAGTGTATTAACACAGCCATCCAGTCAGTTCACACTACAGTGTACTAATACAGCCATCCAGTCAGTTCACACTACAGTGTATTAACACGGCCACCCAGTCAGTTCACACCTACAGTGTACTAATATAGCCATCCAGTCAGTTCACACTACAGTGTACTAACACAGCCATCCAGTCAGTTCACACCTACAGTGTATTAACACAGCCATCCACTTAGTTCATACCTACAGTGTACTAATACAGCTATCCAGTCAGTTCACACTACAGTGTATTAACACAGCCATCCAGTCAGTTCACACCTACAGTGTATTAACACAGCCATCCAGTCAGTTCACACCTACAGTGTACTAACACAGCCATCCAGTCAGTTCACACCTACAGTGTACTAATACAGCCATCCAGTCAGTTCACACTTAGTGTACTAACAGCCATCCAGTCAGTTCACACCTACAGTTTATTAACATGGTCATCCAGTCAGTTCACATCTACTGTTTATTAGTTGGTGGGCACTTTGCTAGCCCTAAAGAAACAGCTTAGACTTCAGACCCTTCAGGGTTCTGCCTTCATGGAGCTTTTGTTGTAATGAACTTGATTCTTCTTCTTCGCTGTGACATCAGAGCCCATGGCCAAGCCAGACCTTCATGGGAGGACCCAGAGCTGCAACAATGGGGAACAAGGAGGGAGCCCGGTCAGAAGTCAGGCAGGTGCCATGTGCCAAGCCCTGGACCGGGCCAAGCAGAAGAAACAACTATGCATTGTAGCTAGAGTTTTCCTGCCTTGCCCACAGTCGGAACAAATCTCTGTCACCCGCCAGTCCCACAGCCGCTCAGACCCAACCAAGTAAACACAGAGACTTATATTGCTTACAAACTGTATGGCCGTGGCAGGCTTCTTGCTAACTGTTCTTATATCTTAAATTAACCATTTCCATAAATCTATACCTTGCCACATGGCTCGTGGCTTACCGGCGTCTTCACATGCTGCTTGTCATGGCGGTGGCTGGCAGTGTCTCTTCCCACCTTCCTGTTCTTTCTTTTTTCCTCTCTGTTAGTCCCGCTATACTTCCTGCCTGGCCACTGGCCAATCAGTGTTTTATTTATTGACCAATCAGAGCAATTCGACATACAGACCATCCCACAGCAATCCATGGCAGCTGTGTGCTGCCTTCCAAGCCTTATACTCAATGGAAGAAGATGAACAGAGCCGAACTGAGACTAGTTACCAGAACACAGAGATGGCTATAGAGAGGCAGTAGAGGCATGACTTGCTTTACTGCAGGACTGGATAAGCTTTTTTGTAGTGTCTTGTGTTTGTTTTGAAGCAGACATAGGAGATTCTGAAAGTTTATTGAAAGGTTTATTTGTGAGTAAAAAGCTCTGAGAAACTTGGGGGCCAGTGTGTTTCGTGAACAAGAGGCTTGCCTGATTTAAATGTCATCAGAAGGCATAGGTGACTGACTATCCCACTTTGTAAGGACAGGAGGGACTTTATCAACTACAAGATCATTTTAGACAATAGTTGTCCCAGATTCTATGAGGTTTCTGGGACTCCACATCCCAGTAACCTTGTGCTCATGACACTAGGAATACTGTGAATATCACTGGCTCTCTCTGACCCCTGCCTAAAAGAGACAGTCACAGGAACAGGGTTGGTAAGAGTCCATCTATGCATCAGCCACAACCTGGGAGGAAGTGACATTTGTCAGGTGCCCATACTGTGCAGGGCATGCCGGGAAGAGAGGGGACAGGAAGGGAAAAGCATGGCTGTTTGCTGGAAAACGGATACCAGAAGTTTCCAAGGAGATTTGGGACTCTCTTTACAATGGTCAGGGCCTGACTCAGACAATCCCTGCCCCTAGACACCAGGGGGCCCAAAGGCCAGGATGAGGTGGCCAGCTGCTGGAAGCTTCACTAAGGGTGTAAGGACGGGGCAAATGTCCTGCTAGTCATTTCACTCCATTTCGACCTGTTCCTCCTCCAGTTCTCCAGGAATTTCTTTCTGCGTGCTTGTTAATCACAGACTGTGAAGACCCTAGCTTCGCTGCGTGGTCACTGGTTTGTACCCAGGCTATAAACAGAATGGCCACAACTCAGTTACCTTACCTACATTTTATGGTAGCACAAGAGGGGTCCTACTGTGACAGAGGGACAAATGCTGCACGGCAGAGCCAAGAGGAGGTGAATGCCGAGAAAAGGACGTGTCCCGTCCACATGGCCAGAGGGTTCCAGCCCAACCGGACCTCGGGGCTCTCCCTCCTCACTGCCACCCTACTGCCGTAGTCTCAGTTTTCTGTCCTCTGAGGTTTTCCAAATCCTCTTCATTCTATGCTGATATTATGGGTGTCATATATCTTCCTTTTTCCTCTCTTTGGAAATAGTCCCCTCCTCAGAATCAGAGGGAGTAGGAAGAGACAAGGAAGATGTGTAAAAAAACGTGTGTGTAGGCATGTGTATGTGAATGCCATAAACTCATTGTGTATAATTAATATATACCATGACTTATCAAAGCAACATAATTAGATTAGGAAAACACTACTTAAAATGACTTCTCTTAGATTTATGGGGGTTACATATATGCAACATTAAGCATAGCATGCTTCTTTTTCAAAAGAAAAGAAGAAATAGTCCCTTGCTCAAATATCACCTCCTCAGTGAAGAATATTCGATGTCTTCAAACCCAAGGTGTAGTTACACACAGGCTTAATACGCTGCACCAATAGTCACTTGGAATTGTGGCAGTCTACTCTGATTACTGGCTTAAAGGTGTTTTCTAGTGGGAGAAGAGCCCCGACCCTGATGAAAGGGCTCTGGTTTGGCCTTGTGTTTTGTTTCTAGTGAGGTGCTTTGCATGTAGCAAGGACTCAAACCAGTTCTGCTGATTGAATGGAAAAGCACAGCTCCACAAATGGCAGCCACAGGAAGACAGTTCACACTACCGGAGTGAAAAAGATTGGCTGACATGTCTAAAGAGTCGCGGATGCCTTTTAAGCATGCCTTGATCCTGTTGCTCAGGACGGTAGGTTATCAAGCTTCAGTCTTCCTCCCCCATGGGCGGGATTCTCAGACAAGCTCTTACCTTCTAGGGACAAGAGGGTGTTAGAGACAGCTTTTTTTTTTTTTTTTTTCAGTTGAGCAACCTACAGAGGATTTGTATTTTTAGCCTTTGAAACCATCAGTTGAAGAGACCTGACTGTCTTTCCAGTTTCCCAATAGATAGAGACAAAATGTGTCTTCTCCCTGAGTCAGACGCTCCACCCTGGGGCTGAGGAGCAGGATAAGGGGCTGGGGCAGTAGACTTGGGGCGGGGGGGGGGGGGGGGGTAGAATGCAGGCTGCATAATTGGAAATCAAAGAGTAGGACCAGAGAAAGGGTAGCAGACCCTGTATGCCCTCAAAACTCATGTGTAAGCTGACCGGCTGTCCCTCAGGCTGTCCCTCAAGCTCTCGGCAAGCACTGGTAAAATGTGTGCCAACCATGCGGGGACACGCTCCATCCTGTGGCTCACTGTCAAGAGTTCCTGTCTCGGTGGGTCTCTAATGTGGCCGTGTTAGAGGCGGTGGGGCCTTTTAGAGGCAGAGCTGCCTGGAGATCATTAGGCCACTGAGGGCCTTGCTCTCAGATAGCAATGCAAGGCTTGTTGGATTCTGATTGGTTCTGGTGAGAGGGCTGTTAAAAAAGGAAGGAGTCTGACCCCCCTCTGAGTTCTGGCTTTCTTTCTCACCACAGTTTCTCTCTCCCACATGCTTCCACCATGATGCCAGTTGCCATGGGGTGCTTACAAGAGCTAGTGCAGTGCTACTGTATTTTTAGCCTTCAGAACTGTGAGGTAAAGAAACCTCTTTTTCTTTATAAACCTCTCGGCCTCAGATATTTCCTTATAGTAATGGAAAACAAACTGATAGACTTTGTGGGATGTATTTGGTGTCCTCTTTATTGCATGGCCCTTCACTTTTGCCTCCTCAGAATCTTCAAATGCTTTTGCTGTA